GCAGGAGATACAAGTCAACTGCTATTAGTGATAATATAATGCTTCAGCGAAGCACTTCTACCCGACAAAACTGAGATAGAATGAGGAGTTTTGTCCCTCTTGCTATTAAGATAATTTCATCCAGGACCGTACAACTTAAATATTAAAAAGTATGTAAAGTGCATATTAATTAAGAATCTAAAATCAGATTCTCTTGTAAACATAGAAGAATAGGCCCAATTTTTTTACCAACGATTTCCCATCTATGAATTTCTCGAATCGACTATAGCCATATTCACAGTTATGCAGGGAGTAGCAAGAGAAGACTGGATGATGCAAGCCAAAATTGTTTTTATACTCAAGATTTGGGCTGACTAGAAAGGCCCGATAAGAGTTATTTCTCTAAGGAAAGCATGTGAAAACAAAATAGAATTAGTTTTGAATCTCAAGATAGAGGCGGCGAGAAAAGTATTAATTAATTATAAATATTTTGCGATAATATTAGATAAAATGGAATGCGAACTATTTTGAGCATATTCAATTATAAATACGTAATGAAGAACATAAACTACATATTACTATGGTACATCAATAGTCTAATAAATTTTTAAAAATGCAGGACCGAGAAATAAATAAATAATAGTCATTACGGATCAGAGTAGAAAAATAATTCTAGAGAATGAGCTGGAAGCAACACAATATCATTGTTGTATAAAGAAAAAAATAATAATTCTGATTATTACTCTTTATCTCTCTATTGTTCGTAAAATAGCATAGCGTATTAGTGAGCATAGAGTAAAGGCAAACACTCTAGGATAAAAAATAATAGACATAAGTATTAAAATATCCGATACTGGAAAATGTTTTCATCTAAAATTGGATATTTAAAAAGGCATGTAAAAAGGATTGGATAACCACCAACATTCCAACGATTTTACAAAATATAATAATTGACATCCGGTAGGATATTAGGTAGAAAATGATAAAGAAATTTAGATTTTAATAAGAAGCGTAATGAGATAATCAACAATAAACACTTTCCAACATGCAAACAAAGCAAAAGCAGAGATAAACAACCTGTTATAGACTAAAGAAATGTTGAGAACATGACAAATCGGATCAATACCAGGAAAGGAATCAAATAAAAATAAACATAAAATGGCCTGTATTGAAAAAATAGCCTTTTTAAGTAAGGGAAATACGAAAAAGAAAAATTTAATTAGCTACTTCTAAAATAGCCCCAAATAAACAGATTCATGAGAAAAAGAAGATGAATTGAAAGAGTAATAAAATAAACCGTAAGGATCTCAGCTAAGCGTCAAAAAATAATAGGTTAAACTTTGGACTAGTTTATGTAAGATATAACCGATAAGAACATAGAAAAATATAATGGAAGGTGTAATAGGTGGCCCATGAGCAGGATAACAATAAAAATAAAAATGGTATTTCTTATACGAGTTTTGCATGGAATAAGCTAATAAATAGAAGGTACAGCAAAAAGGCAGAACATTGGTTATTACAGTAACTGATAGATGATAAGAAGAACAAATGAAGTTGAATAGATAGAGGAATTTAAGGAGAAAATGTGAACAAAAAATTAAGTAAAAACATGCATTAGTAGGAAAGAAATAGCAAAAATAAAAGAATATGGAAAAGAGAATATAGAATGCACTAAAACTTATTCACAAGAGAGTTCAAACAAATCATAGGACACATATATGTAAGCTGAAACAAAATAAGGGTAGCAAAAATATAAGAGAAGGAATTATGAAAATTAAGAATTAATTTAGTTGAAGAGGTACGCGAAAAAGCATATCAGATTTTTAAAATTTTGGAAAAGATAAAAAAACAATAGCTCATTCTTTGTCAACAAGGTATTCAATAGGAACCACATTGACAGAATCAAAGATATACAGCGTTCCAGTGCTTACATCAACTGTAATTAAAGTGGGTGGATGGGATCTTGGCCTGGAAGTAGATTTGGCATCCATGGGTTGATTCAAAGTGGAAGTAAGCAAATTAGAGTTCTCAATTCTGTTGGCATTATCCGGAGAAGAATCAATGTTGGTGGTAGGAAAGGAGTAAGAGCATCGGCTGGGGCTGACAAAGATGAGAGGAGAAGCAGAGGATGGTAGAGATGCATCGATGCCCGAAATTAGTACTCGGACCACAGAACAAGGACGAAGTGGGCTGTTTCCTGAAGAGTAAATGAAACCAAAACATAAGGTGGATGTGATAAGGAAGGAAAGACGTAAAAACAAATTTGTTGCAGATCACTTTGAGAGAAAGAGGTTAAAATGTCGTTCAGAGAATACAGAAAACTAAAGAGAGAAAAATAAAGCGAAAAGTTTTAAGGTATAAAAGAAATAATATGAATTGAATAATTTTTTAAAGACTGATACATCCTTGGTACTTGATCGTGTAAAAGTTTAAAATTAAAAATGAGGAAAAAAATTAGAATCCGATGATGAAACAATGTCCTTACAATTTTAGATTATTGTTTAAAAGGGGATCGATTAAAATAGATTAAGGAATACAGATTCATCACACTAAAAATAAACCAAATAAATAATAAGACCAAGGAATGAAAAAAGCAAATTCAGTTTTTTTTTATATAAAGCACTTTTATATGAAGTTTGTCTAAGACTCAAGTAATAAATAGTACAGTAAATGGTTGTAAAGTCTTTGCGGCTTTATTCAGCAACATGGTTACGGAAACATCCGAAATAGTGAAACACATTGCAAAGATTGGAAATGAGATTGAAAGAAAGGCTGGTTAATTATGGTGAAAATACAAGACAACACAAGATACGAAAAGCCATCGATATCCTGACTGAAAGAAATCTATTGAACATGAGATGTAAAGAAGGCAGAATTAAAAATAGTGAATAATTCCAAATCAAACTTGGAGATCAGGTTATAGCAAGATCAACAAAAAGAAGACAACTGGATCAAGGTAATATTTTCAATTTTAGGAAAAGAAATTGCAAGAAGACTAGGGAAGAACAAACTGAAACTAAGAGGATATGCCTACAATGAGCCTATTCAAATCAAGCAGAAATATCACATTTGGGGGTGGGCACTCAAGAGGCTAGAGCCAAGAAGGTCATAGAACTGGTATTAGGGAAAGAAGAGCAAAAATATGCCGCGGAAACCATTGATAGTCGACTATTAAATAATAAGATTGATCAAAGACGTAGTCCATGACAAATACTTGATCATGAAATTTACTCGTTTCACATGCGGAGCAATGATAAAGGGAGCTGCAGTATCAAATTAGGTTTCCACGCAACTTGAGAATCCAGGTATAAAGACCAAGATGGTGTGGCCTTTTGTGTGGTCGCAGTCTGCTTTCGTTGAATAGAAGTTGTTTAACCTTGTTTTCGCAACTCGGTCATATTGGTAGGAAGACTTAAAGAA